GGGGTAAATCTGGATGCCCCGACATCTGAGATAGGCTGCCACCACCAACACGCATTTCATAAACGCTCTTGGCACTGTTATTAGGCCAAAGGGGAACACCGCAAATTGGTAGTGGTTGGTCCCAACTAAAAAACATAGGAACCGTCTGTGTCCGTGGAATATCGATATGTGAAAGTAAGCATCTTTCAAATTGAGGGCAGCATATCAGTCTACCAGATTCAGGGAAGGAAAGATGGAGGCCAGGGAAATCATGTGGAACTTCAACTTCTTGAGATGCTTGTTGAGGTTCCACAGATCAAGGATGGGGCATAGACTTCTCTTGGCCTTTGGGATTAAAAAAATAGCAGGAGTAAAACCCTTTCCCCCTTAAATGCAGTGGAACTCCCTCCACAGCTCCCATTCGCAGAAGGCCCTGTAGCTCCTGAGTGAGCAGATGCTCCTGAGAAGAGTCCCTGAAGAGGGACAGGGACGCGGGGAGGACAGAAATAAACTGGAGGGTATATCCCGCTGCTACTGTGCTGAGAACCTATCGGTCAGATGTTAAGCAGCCCACTTAGGGAGGAAGGGGAACAGGATGTTGTAAAATAATAGGGAAGCAGGATCCAGGACACAGGCTGGAAGATCACCCTTGAGCGTACCCTCAAAATGCCTGCTTGGTTACGGGTGGAGCTTGAGTGAGCAGAGCATGCTAGCTGATGGCCGTACTGGCACTTATAGCCCATGCCCTTTTTGTAGAAGGGCTCTGATCAAGGATGGCTCCCGAACCTGTAGGTCTGCTATGGCTTAAGCTGCTTCCTTGTTGGCCCCGGCGTCTACAGGCCCAGGGAGAGCAAGCTAGCCCTTGAGTCTTTCAGGCCATGCAATTTACGGTCTGTCTGCTCAGAAAACAATGCCAGGCCATCGAATGGGAAGTCCTGGATGGATTGTTGAACCTCCATCGAAAGGCCCGGCGACTGAAACCAGGACGCCCACCTCACTGAAATGGCCAAAGCCTTAAGTCTGGGCCGCAGAGTCTGCTGCATCTGAGGCCGCTTGGAGGGCTGCCCTGGCCACCGCCCTGCCCTCATTGAAGATAGCCAGGAATTCCTTCCTGGGTTCCTCTGGGAGCGAGTCTGAGAATTTGGCCATGGACTGCCAGATATTACAATCGTAACAGCCAAGCAAGGCCTGATGGTTGGCCACTCTCAGCTGGATGTAGAATAAAATTTTCTACCAAAAAGAGATCAAGCCTCTTTGCCTCCTTATTCTTAGGCATCGATCCCAATTGGCCACACGATGAGTGAGCTTGGGGAGGGTGGATATAAAGATACTAATACCCCTTAGCAGGGACATAGTATTTTCTTTCTGCCTGCTTGGAGATGAGGGGCACCAAGGAAAATGTCTGCCACAGGGCCTTAGTAATTTTCACCACTCCCTTGTGCACCAGCAATGCCACCCTGGAGGGGGCTGTTGCACTAGGGCTCCGCCAGCTCCTCAGCTTTCAGCCGCAGGTTTGAGGCAACCTCTTCAGGAGCTCCTGGTGGGCCCTGGCATCGTCCTGGGAAACTGGGTGAAAGGGCCCCACTATTACCTCATCAGGAGAAGATGAGGAGGAGGCAGGTACAGGCAGATCTGCTGTGGGAGCCTCAGCTGAGGCTGGCTGGTCCTGGGGAACCTGCTCTGACTCCGCATCCGAGTCAGGGGGAGGACGAGAGATTGTCGCCGATCATCTGTTGGATGCCCCCTAGGCTGACCTATGCCCCAATGATGGGTGGGGATATCCCCAAGGGTTCTAGAGTTGCCAGGGGGCAGGCCAGTGGCCCTGGGACCAAGCTGCCACTGGTGGCCCAGCGGGGAATACCAATGCCCCTGATGGGTAGCCCTGGCCTGGGGGCAGTGTTTGCTCCTTGCTGTCAGGAGCCTGAGGAGGGGACGACTTGTCTGGAGGGATCAGGATGGTGCCGAGGCTGCCTTTTTACCATGATCCCATCGGCTCTGGCTGCGGACTTTTGTTGAGGATTTGTAGAAGGGTGATGGCTCTTGGTACCACGATCCCGGTGACTGCTGGCAGCATTCAGTGAATCGGTGATGGTACCCCGGCAATCTATGCCTGACACTTAGCAAGCAGTGCCGCTCTGTAGAGTGGGAGTGAGAAGACTGACATATTGGAAACCGTCGATCGACGCGCCAGTGGTGAACTGTACCGGCAATCTGGTGACCTGTGATGGGGCTCTGGGGACTGGCGTCTTGACCCTCTGGAGCGGTGCCATGAGCTCAGAGAGCCGCTGGGGACTGGTGCTGTGCCTTTGCACCAGTCCACTGGTGATTGATGCCTAGAGCCTAATGAATGCTGTCTCGAGTCCGGGGACTGATGCCGGAAACTCTGGCTGGCAACCTGACCCATGTCTGGGGGCTGTTCAGGCAAGCGCTAATAGGGCACCCCCTGTAGTAAGAAGCAGTGCTGCACTGATGGGAACCATTGAAAGGGTCCCAAGGCAGGTTTACCCCTCGAACAGGGCACCTCCATGGCCAGCATGGGTGGCACAAGTAGGGACAGAATGTCTTTAGCGGCCTGAAAGGCCTCCAGCATGGATGACACCACCAGGTGCCAAGTGCCTCTGCCACTTCCTGGGGTGGTGGGCAGGTCTTGGAGTTGGCTCGACCGCTCAGTGGGAGTTGGGGCCTGACCACCATCCGGAGGGGAAGCGCTGGCCTGCGCGGGTCTTTGCTCTCCTCCATCTCGCTCTTTCCCTTTACAGGACGTAGGAGAATGTTCCATCCCGAACTTTCTTTGCTTTTTAGCCAGTATCAGGGATGGGGATCGGTGCCAGTGTGAGGCTGGTGCTGGCAGCGCACTCCACACTGGGGCCATGGTGCTAGGAGCAAAGTCTGATCTGGTTGGCTCTGAGGCCAGTGACGAGCCGACTCCATAAGGAGTGCTTGGAGACGAATGTCCCGCTCCTTTTTGGTCCGTGGTCTGAAGCTCTTGCAGATGCAACACTTGTTGCTAATGTGGGTTTCCCCTAAACACTTCAGACAGCTTCTATAGGGATCACTGACTGGTATGGGTTTCTTGCAACAGTCACACGGTTTGAAGCCCGGGGACCAGGGCATGCCCCGTCCCTAGGCTAAAGTCCCATTTGGGACTAACAAACTATCACTAACTCTATACTAAGGGTACTATAAAACTAGCAACATTTTTAGCAATTATATACAAAAAGTTCACAACTAGGCACAGTTAAGAGGAGTATGCTTGCTGAGGCAAGGAGACATTCCAGCACCGTCACTGACGGTAAGAAGGAACTGAGGGCGGGGGGAGCCGGTAGCGCCCCTTACATACATGCGCCACTCCAGAGGGTGCCAGAGCCAGTCCCCTACGAATACCACTGAGGGAAAAACTTCCGGTGCCGGTACATGTGGTGAGCACATACACCTACAATGGAATGGACATGAGCAAGCACTCAAAGAAGAACCAGGAGATTGGCTTTTTCTCATTTCTTTCAGGACATCCCAAACAAGTGTCCTGTTTCAGCAAGTAGGGGTTTGCTCTCCAAATATTTCAGATAAGATTTGTTACAACTGGATTAACTCTGAAAGAGGATTCAAGCACAAAATAAATAATTCACCCAAATATTTAGATACACTACTCTCATTCTATATGCATATCTCCCAATCATATTAATGGAAGTTTTTTGCAGTGACAAAAGTAGAATATTGCTGCCAACAGACTGCTGATTCGTGGAAAAAGGTGTTATGGATCTTTTTTCCCTCTTATTCTAAAGGCACCTCCAGTAGTAGCATAGCGCCATCTTAGACCATGTAGGGATACTGGTTCAATACTGTCTCAAAAGAATAGGGCCTACGGAATTACCAGTACCATCCTACTACCTGCAACATCCGTTTTCCTTGTCATACAAATATAAACTAGGTCCAACTCTGCTTAAACTTGTAAGATCTGCCATTGCACAGGAAGTAGATGTGTGGCTGCACTATCTTCTGCTAGATTAACTCCACTGGAATGCGCTACACTTTTAGTTTGTCATGCTATGGCCAGGTCTAAAGAAGAATCTTCTAACAGGTTTGAAAACGGTTTCTCCTCATGTGTTAAAAATGGTTTAATTTGATCAACATGAACCAGGCAAAACTATTTGCTAGAATAGGTCCCTAAACTAATATCACAGTTTACTGATGGCCAAAATATTTGGTTTCTTGTTAACAAAAATAGCTCTGAACATAATTCAAACATTTACTAGAGCTTAAAATAAATTTTTAGAGTAATACGAGTGTAAAATACTATTTACAACCACTAATAAAACAGCCATTTTCACAGCTGAATGTATTAATTATTGTATTCTCTGTCAGCATCATAAGGACTTGCCTCATGCAACTCAATAATACAACATTCTTTGAAGTGATCAAATGGCTGCAATGCTGACTAGTCTAAGGTAGTCTTTTGAAGCTTGAAACTACAGAGAAAAAATAATTTTACAAAGATTAGAAGAACAAACTCTATCAAAATGCAAGGTTACTTAATTATAAACTCGTATTGATATAGCTCTGTGAAATAATACAAAATATATACAGTCTCCCAAAATTTTGAAAACTAGCAAAAGATTTCAGTTTCTTTAATTTTCTAGTAGAGTCATTTGTTCATTTTATTAACACCAGATGCAATAACACAATGCTAAAAATAAACATGCATTAGTTATACAACCAATTTATATTTTTCAAAAAATTCTGTTCATTATAATTAGAGAATGCACATATTACCTCCTTTCCACATTTAGTGCATTACTGTTTTAAACAGGTAAAGGGATAGGGAGGAGGAATTGAACTCAATGCTATTCAGCACCAGTAAAAAGTCAACAGACCTTTAACATTCCTGTATATCAAAAACATTTTATCTGCATCACTAAACATGTAAAGTTTATAATTTTGTTCCATTTCAAGATACCTTGATTTATATTTACAATACTTTGTAATCAATAAAACATTTTAAGAATATTTAAAAATTATCTAAATTCATAAAAGTATTGCAGAAATTTATTACATTTACTTATTTTACGTACATACAAGGAAGTCCATGTAAAAGGTTCATTTGAAGAACTGAACTGAGAGAGTAAGAGCAATTTTATTTAATTTGCAACACCCCAATTATTAGAAGGCAGCTGTTGTTTATTTAAACATTCAAAAATCCCTAATTGCTGCTTACTTCTGAACACTAAAGTTCCAGTAATATAAGTGAATATGTAAACCAACATGTTTTTGAGATCATCAGTAGAAAATATATTTCCACAGGCATAACATGTTTAATAATGACGATGATTTTGTAGAAAATTATTAGGATGTAGTGATATCTGAACAGACGACTCAGTTCGCTCATTAAAATAATGGTCTTTACCAGCATTTCAGATATAGCTGTTTTCAATGTATGATAATTTAGCAGCTAATTGTTTTTCCAGTTAGACTTTCTACAATGCTAAAATATAACAATCAGATGCATAATACTTTATTAGAATTTTTAAATTCAAATTTATTTTGGCATCCAAAGCCTCTATTAAAATGTAGCCATATAGCATTGACTTTTGTAGTCTAAGAACCAATAATAAACCAACCAAATGTACATACTGTAATTTAATCTCCACTCAATTAGGTACCCAAAAATTAAGAAAAAGTAATAGAAAAGTAAAAAGAATCAAATAAAAAATATTGCACAGCCACATTACCTAGAAAGTAAAGTCGATGTTAAAAAAGCTCTAAACATGGATGATATAAATTATCTTCCATACAAAAGTATAAATATCTCTTAAAATACAGCTGCAGCTATACTTCAATACCACACATTATTTGATTCATCTGTTAATGAGGTAATAGTCAAGTCTCTTAAAATGCTTTTCTTCTACTGGAAATATTTTAGGGCAGCAACCAGAAAGAACTTTTCTAAAAATATTTCTGAATCAAGAACAGCAATGTGTGCAGCTCTCCCTATGAGAGAATCGGCTGTATTGGGCAATGCATTGATGACATTATAACGGACCAAATTACATTCCTTGTTTTGAAGAACTGGTAGAAGCAGGTTCTGGATCATTTCTGCATAAATCGGTCCTGTAAAAAAACAAAATAAAAAAAACCCACTTGTATTACGTGTCACCCAGAATAAGCTACAATTATGTGTCCCTGAATATGAAAATATGAACACATTCTAGAAAACAGAGACCTATTTTATATTGTCTCCCTACTAAGAGAAGATTTGAAATCTAATTTCCATAGACTTTAAAAAAAAAAATCTTATAACCCATACATTTTACTGTTCGCATTTCATAGTGAAATTGTGTTTACCAGTACTAATTTATGACGACTCCAGAATATTTTGTCTATTTACTTTTCAGACAAATAATGCTGTAGTACAGATGTGCCACAATATCTCATCATGAACTATAATCAGAAATGATCCTTCGTAAGTGGGGGGAAGAAAAACCCTTTCTTTTCACTGCTAGTATGGAATTGGGCCTCTGCTAAATAAAATCTGCCTTTTTTTTTTTTTTTTAATTACAGACACCATTCTGCTCCCAAAGTCAATGGCAAGGCTTCTGACTGACTTCAATGGGGATATGGTCAAGGCTCTACAATATTACTGTTTAAGTTTAAAAAAAAAAAAAGGTATGAGAAATCTTACATGGAAAATTCAGTTATTTGAAAATAACGGTTTATTTATCTTGACATTGGTTATAAAGCTATCCATGTTCTAAACACACAGAAACTTCACATTTATTACCTGACTGTTTATCTTTCAAAGCTGTTTTGCACATCTCTATGCGGGCAGAATGATAAGGAACATAACGATCCTGCAGGGATCCAACTAGCACTATGTTTTTGAAGTAATGAAGACCTGCAGGAAGGAAAAGAAATGGTAAATATAAACAATATGCATCATTTGAAAATTTCTGCAAGATAAACATAATAAAAATTTTCAGATAGAAACCGGAGACTGATTTATTATTAGATATTGTAAAAAAAGAAAGAAGATTAATTTCATTCATTAAAGTTAAAAAAATAATATCCAATCAAGTTACATTTCAACTCTTCCAAGAACCCTGAACTTTTTCAAACAGCCAGAAATTATAGTCCAAAACCCAAACACCTTTCAAAAATACTGAAATAAGGGACTTCTTGAAAGAAAGCAACCAAAGTGAAAGTTGACTTTTGAAAGACTAGGCTTTTCCCTCCCATGCAATAGGTTGACTGTCGAGTTTGGCCAATGTACATGGGCAGAGGGGAATTGCTGGCACATGATGGCATCTATCACATTGGTAGATTGTGCCAGCAATGCCCCTCTGCCATGTACATTGGCCAAACCCGACAGTCTCTACGCAAAAGAATAAATGGACACAAATCAGACATCAAGAATTATAATGTTAAAAAACCAGTTGGAGAACACTTCAACCATTGCCGATCGCCTCTCCAATGCCCCCAACACCAATCGTTGTATCTCTGCCGCGGTGCTGGGGAGCAATGCCGCAAGGATGGGGAATGTTGCGTGGGCCCCAGTGCCAGCTTCCCTCAAGACGACCACGTCTTGATGGGGCGTTGGCAGCACCGGCAAAGACATGCTGTCTTTAGCATCCTGGAAGGCCTCCGGCATGGATGGAACCTTCAGGTGCCAGGGACCTCTGCCACTACCCTGGATGGCTGGTGGATCCCTAGGAGGGCTCAACAGCCTAGCTGGTGATGCAAGTGCCTGACTGAGCTCCACAAGGATTCCATCTCAGTGCACGCCTGCCTGACATACACATTCAGCAATATTTACCTGATATCCACTTCACAATGCTTAAAGGTGATCAACCTCAACTATTAACATCTCAGACACCACCTAAACTGATTCTTAGCCATTGACTTAATGCATAACACAAACAAATGGAGTGGGGAAAAGTACATGGAAGGATAAAATGGGGATAGCTAGCAGGTTAGTGAAAGATTTGAATTAAAATCTTTAGATACAAGTCATAGGTTTTTATTATGTCAATAACCTCCGTGACAAACTAACTGCCTAATCAGTGATCTTGGAACAAATATTACAACAGAAGCTTAACATCTGAAAAAAAATATATGTAGGTTATCAAACAGTTCTAGAAATGAAAAGACATAACCCCTGCTTTTGGTCCTTAATGACTGTATAATGCATTCAATCTTACTCTCACTGAAACCACTGACATCAGTGGTGCAAGATCAGGCCCAAATACAGGTTGGCTAGTTTGTTCATTAATTAGAAAGAAAGGTCCTCGATGATCTACCTACCACAGTACAAACACAGTCTGATTTATTTCTGAAGTAATACTTAGTATAGACAAATAATGGACTGTAGAGCTGACAGAATGGTAGAACATGCAATTATTTATCTAAAAAATATTTTCTATTTTTTTCTTTTTATTGACATCCTGTACAAACTTGTCTACAAGATGAACAACATGAACAAAACTTACCTGCTTTTTTACTAAGTTTGTATAAGAAAGTTTGCCGTGGGTCTGAATGATCTCGACATGTCAATTGTAATAAAGAACCCGACTTTTTCCACTTCTGCATAAACCAGAGACCTGTATGGTTACATACAGTGGATGTAAGTATATTTCAGCAGTAAAATAAGAATCACTAAACGGCAATTAAATGTGTAAAGTCAATGTCCATACATTACATTTCCCACTCTTTATTTTACATTTATGTTAGCATTATCAAACCCACAACCATTCTATAGTTCTCTCAGCCATCACTGTTTCCTATCTGATATGTATTTAATAAATAATGAATACTGTCCTTAGTTAAAACAAAGTTAATATTCTTGGTGCTAGGGGAAAAAGTTCTTTCACCAAAATATCAAGGTATGTCTTTAAATATTAACCACAAGGTAACATACAGACATACCCTCAACATTTTAAAATAATGTTTCAGATGTTTTGATGCTGAAATATATAACCTGTCTAAAATATAAAAGAGACTCAAGTGTCACCAAAACAAATAACTTTTAGAATCACAGAGGTCAAGATTCATGGAAGTAGGCAGAAAAGAAAGGGAAGGCATTCTCTGAACTGGGGAGAGGAATGGAAAAGAGGTCTCATTATTATACCCTCCTGGATGTTGTGCAGCACCTCTTTTTCCCAGTTGATGGGTAAAGCCATCCGTCTAAATATGACTTTTCAGAAATTCTTACAAGCCCTTGTTATCTCTATAAAGCAGAAGAAAACAAACTACCAGGTATTCTCAAGTGATCACAAATAAATATATAGCTAGTACCCAAAGTTTTAATGCTAGTCATGCTCAGTCCTAAAATGCTATATCGCATGTAATTATTTGAGTTTTCTGGAATATTAACTTAAAATTTATAATCCATTAAACATATGAAAAGCAATGATGGTTATTGTAAAAAAATGGTATCGTGAGACGTGATCAATCACAAGCGATACAACTCTTCAGAAAGTATAAAAGTTTTCTGTATGATACCTAGAAAGGTCTAACCTTATTACTAAGATGACTAAAGCCAACTAGACTCACTGCTGACTATGAAAATACTCAAATATCCAAATCTCACATCATCTGGAATACTAAAAGCAAATAATAGGTTGTTCATGCTTAGTGTGTAATTTTTTTGGGATCACTTATGGCAAAACTTCCCCCCCCACCACGGTAAAGCATACATTGAGGGCTACATATTGTACATGCCAAGTTTCAAAAGCCCACTCAATTTCACTGATATCCTCACAACTCCAGCAAATTATATTTGGGCAAATAATGCACGACAATTTTCACCTTTTTTCTATTCAGAAAATGTACGCATATAGATTATACATGTTCCTTAATCGTTTATTTGGTCTGTAGATTGTTAAGAACACAAGAATGGCTGTACTGGGTCAGAGCAATTGAACACCTATCCCAGTATCCTGTCTTCCAACAGTGGCCAATGCCAAACAGCTCAAAGGGAATGAACAGAACAGAGAAATTATCAAGTGATCCATCCCATCGTCCAGTCCCAGCATCTGGTGGTCAAAGGCTTAGGGACACGCAGAGCAAGGGGGTTGCATCCCTGATCCTCTTGGATAATAGCCATTGATGGACTCATATCACAGGAACTTATCTAACTCTTTTTTTAACCCAGTTATAGTTTTGGCCTTCACAATATCCTAGGGCAACTAGTTCCACAAATTGACTGTGTGTTGCGTGAAGAACTACTTCCTTTTGTTTGTTTTACACCTACTGCCTATTCATTTCATGGGGTGACCCCTGGTCTTTGTGTTATGTAAATAACACTTCCTTATTCACTTTCTCTACACCATTCATAAGTTTCAAGATTTCGGTCATATTCCCGCTTATTCATCTCTCTTCTAAAATGAACAGTCTCAGTCTTTTTAATTTCCCCTCATATGGAAGCTGCTCCATACCCTTAATCATTTTTGTTGCCCTTCTCTGTGCCTTTTCCATTTCTAATTTATCTTTTTTGAGGGGGTGACCAAAACTGCATGCAGTATTCAAGGTGTGGGAACACTATTGTTCACTAGCAGTTTGTTGAGCACATTTGATATTCAATATTTGAACTGTCTGGGTTAGTTTTTATGGACACAAAGATCACAGGTTGTTTTTGTTCATTGACTGTATGCATATAACTGTTTATTACATTTGTTTTCTTTGAAGATTTGTTTAATTATATCTTAGCTAGGTATTTACCAATAAACTAATCTTAGAAGGTTATACCTTGAAAAATATTTTAACATAAAAACTGGTTCAAACAGACTGATGTGCTCTTATAATGGTTGTCTTTTTTCCCATTAAGGTTTTACACTTGCCTCTTTCTCCATTTGTTCCTAAAAGCAGTGTGAGAATGTGCCTGATTTTCCTAATTCAAAGAATGCACAAAGCTGTAGGCCCTAGAAGAGCCTTTTATTAACATTTCAAAAGCAAGAGATGCCTACTAATTTTCTCCTGAACAAATGTATCCTGAATTCATACCATTGAAAACAACATTGAAGCTTTTACCTGTATTAACAAGAGCACTGCTGTTGTAGAGGGTACCAAGATGTGGTCCAGAGAGAGACAGGAAGGTGTGAAGTTTGTTGAGGTAATATTTAAACCGAGGTCTTGTGAGCACTGAACGGATTATTAAATTGCCCAGCGAATGTCCAATAAAACTATTTGAAAAGAAAAACAGCGTAAAATGAAACCTTGGGGAAATTCTTTTTATTTTATTTTTCCTTAAAGTGAAATTTGATGCCTTTATAAACGATTTAAGGAGTAAAGAAAGAAAGAAATGGAATATTTCCAATCTCCCTCCCCCCCCCGCCACTCCCCGTGACTTCAAAATGTTAAGTAATAAAACAAAACAAAAACAAACTACTATAAAGTTCAATATTTTCCAAAACGCGCAACTAGCTTAGGGAGAAGTTTTTCGTGAGCTCCTCAGAATTGTTAAACACATAAAAAAACCTATTTCAGTTAACACATCAACCAATTTTTTTCAAGTTTATTGTTTCTGAACCAGGTACACACCAACTACTGAGAAAATATTATAAATGTGATGTGAATGACTGAATAAGACATCATTTTGGTATTTAATGACTGTGGAGGTTAGTGGGATGGATGCTTATCAGTTGCCAAGACAACCTGTATGATACAAATTCTACAAGTATTCCTGGGGGGAAGAAAATGTCACTCTGGATAGATACTTTATTTTTGGTGGAAGCAACATCTCAGGTGCGTTTGCTTGGGGAATGGACTAAAGAGCTGAATATTTAGCTTTATGGTTCAGTTGTCCCTCCAGAGCGGTGAGCAAGTCGAGCTAGCTGCAAAAGTAAGATAGCTACAGCTGACAGGACTATATCAAATTTGTTACCGCCACTAGTAAAGAGGAGTGGGGCTATTCTTCACCTATCTGAAACTTGGGCACACCTAGCAGGACAAGTATATCCCTGTCCTAAGCTCTATCATACCATACATACACCATGTACATGCCTCTCCTCTTATACTGAGAGCAATTATTTTGAAAGGATTTTTCCATTAAATATGCTGCAAGGTAAGCTTGGCTCAAATGACCCAAATAGCTTATTATAGTGGTGCAACAGAATGGGTGGGGATGAGAACACCCACTGAGATGAATGGAAAAGTTCACCCTACAACCTGAAACAATAGCACTGAGATGTAACCTCTACTCAGTGTTCTCATTGAGCTGAGAACATCCCATTGAGATGAATGGACCACTTCACACCTTTCTGAGCCTTGTATATGGGTGTGTAGAAAAGCCATCTCCTTCCGTTATCTCTCTATCCTTCTTTTTTAAAGGCCAACGCTTCTAAGTGCTCTAAAATTTGCAATGCCTTGTGAGCAGAGGTGAAAGTAAGCCGTACGGCATACCGGTAAGAAAGTGGCCAAAGCATTCAGTACAAATGGGTAAAATAGGCTAGGTTTAACTGTAGTAATAACAAAAAATCTGATTTATGTCTTGAATTAAATATATTTTACATTCTCTAGACACAAAATGCTCCTTTTCAGTTTTTACTTCTTGTCAGGTGGAAGATGTTCACATGATTTCGAACATTAGCTTTTGAGTGCCATCATGGTAACCACTTGCTTCTTATTGGTCAAGTCTGTCGTGTCAGGCGCGTAATTTACAGTAGAAAGCACCCACTGTGATTGTCCCCTCCATTGGAACAAAGTAATTAAATGTAGTCGATTACAGAATCACACACTGCATACTTCAGCCTTCGATAAGAGGGAACGACTCACTGGAGTGGAGATGTTGCTGGAAGGGGCCCAGTGTTGTGAAATCCCTGAAGGCAGAATGGATTGCAGCAAACATCTCTCTCTGAAACCTAACTGACCACCCCTAAGCATAGTTGGAGAGGGAATCAGAGTTGACCTCGGAGATTAGGGGAGCTGAAAGGTGGCAGGGGGGGGGGGGGAGGGAGGGGAGTCTAAGGAGTGCAATGCGAGCAGGACTCAGGAGTGTGCTTGTGCAGAAAGCTCCTTGCTTCCCTTGGGCCGGTTCTCCTGTGTGCCGCCTGCCCTCCAGCGTGCAGATCCATACACGCGGGCCCTTTGGGGACGAGGCAGCTTGGGGAGCGAGTGTTGTGTGCATGCTGCAGGATGAAGGGGTGGCTTTGTGCTCTGTGCCCAGAGCGCTGTACTCTGCTTCCAGCCCTTGGGTTCATTCATTATTCAGCCAGCTGCGGGAGGGAGAGCTCATCTGGCTTCAATCGGGGAGAACCAGAGCCAGGGACCCTCCTTCCTTCTCCTGTGCCCAGGCTGTTTGCAGGAGTCTCTGCAGCAGTCCCTGTTGCTGGAAGCTATGGGGTGCCAGAGGAAGGATCCAGCAGCTGGGGGGGGGGGGGGAAGAGGAGGAAGCAAGGCATGGGGCATGGCAGCGTGCGAGTTGGGTTCCAAAGCAGCTGGCACCCCGCATGAAACTTCTTCATCTCACGCCTCTTTCCCAATGGTAGGAGCTTGCTGCTGTTTGCTGGTCTGTGACACCTCCCCAGCCCTCTTCCCGTCTTACACACTAACGGGTATGTTTAAACATAAAAGTGAGGAAATGGGGGATTGTCAGTTAAAAAGAACAGCAACAAATGAAGAAGCTGAAAGTCATCCACAAAAGGGTATATCTATATAGCCAATGAGGGGAATAGCTACCAGTGCTGAAGCTTTCCTCACTCGAGGGTGTGTGTGTGTTTTTTCACACTCCTAAGCAAGGAAAGTTTCAGTGCTGTAAGTGGCAATGTAGACAGCGCTGGTAGCTATTCCCCTCATGGAGGTGGTTTTATTACAGCGCTGGGAGAGTTCTCTCCCAGCACTGGAGCCATGACTATACAGCCAATGTTAAAGCTTAAAGTTACTAGCAATACTCTAGAATAAAACTAGTAGACAGCTACTGTATCAAAGTCATGCAAAGGGATCCATGAAGTTAAATGTGGAGGTGGGAAGGGAGGTTGCGATACGACTGTACCGGTAAGAAATTTAAGTTACTTTCACCCCTCCTTGTGAGAGTGCTAAGTAAGGTTATAGTACAGTGACCCTCATTTGGGTCATTTGAGCCATGGGTTTTAGAGATATAAACCCTGAAAAAAATAGCATTTTTTCAAAAAGTTTCTAGGGGTGTGTGTGTGGCTTTTCCCCTCAGAACACAACATTGCAGCCCCCTCCTGGATAGGGTTTTTTGGGAAGAAGGAATAAACTGTCTGTACATCATTTTATGATAAGTACTTTGCTCCAAAGAGCACCAAAACTAATATTAACAGTACCGCTAGTCTAACCTCTATCACATATGCACAGTTCTCATCAGCTGGACAGAGAAAAGACAAACCACATATCCCAGATTAAGCCACACTGTAACTGAAATGATAATATGAGACAATTTACTGTATGCAACAGTAGAATTTACTGTATGCACCTCTCTCTTTATTTCGAAGTGTGAAAAAACGACCCTTATTTCAATCTAGGGCTGCTTCTCTACACTAATTAATAGCAACAAGTTACAGTGGCTGTAGACTGAGATCAAACGAGTTGTTTCACCTTAAATCCATTAATGACTGGTTATCTGAAGTACATCTAGAACATGTATTGTAATTGGATAAAAATCATATTAAAATGCCAGCTATACTTTTTTCAAGCTAAAGTCATTTGAAAACTATTTTAAACAAAACCAAAGATATTTAAGATTGGTAATTGCTCCTGATTTATCATCATAATACCAATATTGCAATGCAATGACCAAAAAAAAAAAAAAAAAGAATAAAAAAGGAAAGGCTGACTATTTTGTGGTTCTCAGACTCTGTTCCATGAAACATTAGCTCTTCTTTCTTCCCACCCTGGGCTTCACTCCTGTCAGCTAAGATGGGAAAAAATTAGGGGTGTTCTAGTCTTAATTGGTTATTATGCTGAGAAGAAGAGAGGATTGCAGATTATATTACTATATCTCTAAATGCTCTGTAGAGATGTATTAATTTATATAATATGTATAAATTATAATATATATTTAGCAAGGTCATGCCAGTTTGTATAATTGCTTTAGCGGATGTCTTCACTAGGAATTTAGGTCGAATTTATAGAAGTATCTCATGTTGCTTGCTAAAAGCTGTTTCTGTTATAACGTGTTTTACTTTATGAAGCGGCTTACTGTGAACACAGCAGAATAGTCAGCAGCCAGTTGTGTCAAAGAAGAGGGGTGGTAAGCAAGCCTTGGACTGGTTGTTCAAGAAAATCTGTATTTTACTCGCCCCTGGGGAAGTGAGGAGACGGGGAAGTTGCTACTTTCTGATCTTGGGGCAGATTAATGTGGTGTTTCCAAAGACACATAGTGCGGAGGTTTGGAACTCACAGTGCAGGTGCCTTGACTGCTGAAGGAAAAGAAACGTGTGGGTGCCATTGTGTGGATTCTCAGCAATTCCTGGATTATGAGGGTGCAGAATTTTGCGGGACAGCAAGGAGTACACCATGACGTGGGAATTGCTTACTATAGGTTGATTTGGCTTAATATGCAAATTGAGGGTTGTGATATGTGCAACTGCCTAAATGACTAGTCACTCCTTCTACCAACCAGTCTTTTCCTGTTCAAAACGTAAGAAAATCCAGTGGCAAAAGACTTTGTTAACACAGCGTTAAGATTATTTGGTAGCATGTCATCTCTTTGCAGAACACAGAGTAGAACAAAACAAATTTCTGAAAACCAAGCAATGCCTGGCTAAGGATGCCCATGTAACCTTAACTCTGCCCTCTGTCAGCAATGCCCCAAGATGCCCTATTAATGCACATACCTTTGCTCTGCCAATCCAAGAGTTGCTGAAATATACATGCTCCTCACCTCCTTTTAAAAGGAGGATTAGAATTAACAGTACTGAAGGTCAGTGGGGGGAGAGGGAGAAAAGATTGCCCACGTCACCTTTCTTCTACCTTCATTGAGCAATGCCCCAAAATGCACATACTCACACTAGTCCTTGGTGCTATAAGGTTCAGCTGGCTCCAGATCTTGGTGTACACTCACGCACTTAGTCAATTCCCCAGAAATAAGAGCACACATTACAATTTAAGAACCACCTCACAGCCTTTTACAAGTCCCTTACAGGTATCAGAGGAACAGCCGTGTTAGTCTGTATTCGCAAAAAGAAAAGGAGTACTTGTGGCACCTTAGAGACTAACCAAT